ACCAAGCTAACTATTTGGCCCACATATAAGAAAACTTACCTTGTAAGTCAAGGCATGTGTCCTACAAAGTCAATACATATTGAAGGTCCTATAGAACATCGCCATGTACACCTAATTAGATAGTATATATAGAGACAAGAATGAAGCCCTCTTCACTCTTGTGAACTCTTTTCTTGCTTCTAGTGTAGTTTCAAGGGTCTCTAGTTTTCTTATCTTTTGGCAATAGCCATTTCAGATTCTTTCTTAATATACATATTGAATTATTTCTATTTTTTTATCTTTCTTTGAGAGAAGTTTTATTTATTTATTTATTTTTATCAAGTTCTTGTCCTTGACATCTACACTTGAAGCCACCATAAATTTCTAAATATTAGCTTCAAAGTTTTGTTATATCCAAAATATTTGATTGTTGGAAAAACACAACAATCTTGAAGAGTACGTAATTATACTTTATCTTTTGAAATATATTATCATCTCTCAATATAAAATAGATTATTCTTAAATTTAAATTTAAAAATAATATGTGACTTAAAAAATATATTTTTAATATTATTAATAAAAGATCAAAGGACATATTCGATTGAATTTACTTAAAAAAGATTGAATCAATAATTAACATTGATTTTATTGCTCAAAGATGAAAATACTTTGACTTCAAGAAAATTGCTCTTTGTTGATCAAAAGGTGCATCTCTTTTTTTTGGTGAAAAATAAGAATATCTAAAAAGAGTGTCTAACAAACCTTCTTATTTTTTGGATTGATAAGTAATCTTAAAATCAAATCTTGATAAGAATATACTCCAATGGGCTTGGCAATGATTCAAAATACTTGCAAACTTGAAGTATTTGATATTCTTGTGATCTGTACATACAATGACTTGACTAAAAGTACCTTCTAGATAATAATGTCATTCTTGAAATGAATCCATAATTACAAGAAGTTTTTTTTTTGGATCTCATAATTAAAATTGATATTAAAAAAATTTGGTATTAGCTTGTCATCTTCTTTCATTCGTGAAAAAATAACATCTACAGTAAAGTTTGATACATCCATTTCTATGAAGAATGCCTTAAAAAATTCAACACAATATAACATTAGTGTAGAAATAAATATTATTTTTTAGCATTCAAAAGCTGCTTTAGGTTCTTTGCTCCACTCAAGTTTGTCTTTGCAAATTAGATGTACAAGTGGAGCCACAATTTGAGAACAATTCTTGATGAAGATTAGGTAATAATTGACAAATCTCAAAAAGACATTGCATAACTCTAATAATTTTTAAAATCTTCCAATCTATGCTAGATTGAACCTTCTTAGGATCCATCATTAGGCCATCATTTAAAATGAAGTATTATAATGAATAAACTTAAGTAGTGTGAAGTACACACTTTTTCATCTTGGCATATAATCTTACACATTTTAGTTTTTGTAACACATAACAAATATGAAATTCATACTCTTTAATGTTCTTAGAGTAGATTAAGACATCATTTATATAACAAATGATAAAGTCATTAAAAAATTCATAAAAAGTAGCTAGTGCATTTGTGAGTCCAAATAGTGGATCATTATATTTGAAATATCTATACCTGATTCAAAATATAGTTTTTTATTTATCTCTTTTTTTAATGTGTACTACATAGTATGCTCTTTGTAGATCTATTTGTGTATAGATCTTTGTTTGATTGAATTAATCAAGAAGTCTTGAAATCAAAAGTAGAGGATATGAATTCTTGATAGTGATCTTCTTGAATCTTTGATAGTACACATATATTCATAGAGATCTATATTTTTTCTTCACAAATAAGATATAAGCTTATATTCGAGATTTAGAATGGTATATGAAGTTTTTAGCCAAGTTCTTATAAATGTATTTCTTAAGTGCAGCCAATTGGTTTTGTGATAAACTATAGATTGGTCAAAATAGTTATTGAATTCCTTCTTGAAGATCAATGAAATAATCATAAATATGATGCTTTAGAAGAATATCTATATTATTTTTTTAAATAATATCTTGATAATCTTAGTGTTGGCTTAGAATGCTATTTAAAATCTTTTCTTCATAAAAAATACGTGTAGTATATATAGTAAAAGTTGATCTTTTTTTTTGCAGCATAAAAGCTCTTGCACCTTTCAATAAGAGTTTGGATGTATTGAATTTATGGATTTCTACTATATTAATAAAATCCTAGATTAAATTAAGAAAAAAATCAAAATTATAAGAAATCTAATCTATTTGAAGGTTATATTTTTTTAGTTACAATAATCTTAAAATAATTAAATTAAAAGAAGATTTAATTATATTAAATATTATTAAACTATTATTCTCACTAATTTTTGCATCTAAAAGAACAATTTCATAGATAACATCTCCTAAAGATAATAAACAATCATCTATTATTTCTACATGCATAGATTTGGTTTTTTTAATTAAGGATGTTTCTTGTTTTTTGACAAAGTCTTTGTTTGTTAAACAAGATGAGGTTCTTGAATCTAATAAGACTAAGACTTGATAATTGTTTGGTCCTAAACAAACTTCTATTGTGAAACAAGATGAAGGATCTGAAGAAAAAATATGACTTTTATTAGGTATCATACAAGATTCCAATTGTATGGTTTCTATTGTAGTTAGAAAAACTTATTTTCCAACACAATGTCTTTTTTGGCAACCAAGCTCCTCATTTTGTAATTATATTACTTCTTTGGATAATGTTGAATAGTATGCTTGGATTTTCTTTAATATAGATAAAAACCTTTTTAACAACAACAAGTCTTTTTTACTTAAAAAGAAATTTAAAATATATTGTATCAATTTTCATAGGCTCTAACTTGAATGGATATTTTTGAAAACTAAAAAAGTATCACCATGACTGGACTTATACATTTCTAATCAAATATTTATTCTAGGCTTCTTTTAAAGAGTCAATTGTTGCATCTAATGGCTTTAGCAATAAATTACTTCAATAAGTTCACTCTAAACATCATCAATAATAAATCTTTGACATTATCTTTTAATCCATATTGAAATTGATTAATAAGGGGCTTGTCATTTCAATCCATGTAGTAAGCAAGGTTTTGGAGTTAAGGAATATATATGGTGGTTGAATGTGATCCTTGTCATAAAGATACAAGTTTGGTCCCTACTATTCTTTCTTGGTCATTTTTTTTAAATATGGCGATGAAGACTTTCAAGGATGAATTTAAATCATATAGTAGTTGTAAATCTTTTTCATCAAATATGTAAATCAAGATAGAGTACTTCAAAAGAGAAGTGCATTTTTGAATCCAACTTGAGTAAATCCATTAATATATTGAGTAGGATATAACCTCAAATAGAAATTTACCTATTGTAAAATTCCTCAAAACTTCAAACTTATTCTATCAAACTTCTTTGGCTTATCTTTGCCTCTCTTATACTTGTAGTAGCAAGACATCTTAGATTTAGTTGTAAACTTAATCTACTTGCTTTTTTCAATTGCACAACTTCGTAACATAGGCTTTAAACTTAATTGTTAACTTCTTCCATAGGTATTGGAATACTACCATCATTGATGACTTTAGAAATATATAAGATTTTAACCTGAAGAGTGTTGACAAGCTCGTGTAGATCTGCAATGGTTAAAAATCTATTTTTACTTCTACTGAGATTAAAATCCATAATTTTTTCTTCTATAGACAACTCAAACAAATCTATAAGTCAAATTAAAGGAGAGTGATTTACAACCTCTAATATCAAATAAAAATTTCTACAAAAAAAGGTAGTTCACTTTTTTAAAAGAAGAAATCATTCTTAAGAAACTAAAATGTTAGATTGAAAGTAAGTAGTCTATAATCTTCAAAATACAATAATAGAAGTGGGGTAATTCATTTACTTCTAAAAACAATACAAGAAGAATGAGTTGAGATTCTTGTCAAACTACTAAGGACATGAATCTTGAAGAACTCAATATATTCTTGTATAATTCAAAATGATTAGATAATTACTCAAAACTAATATAGTATTGAAATTGGAATGGCTATTATCAAAGACAAGACGACTAAAAAACCTTAAAATAAGACAAAAGACTAAAAAGACATTGACAAGAGTAACGAAGGCTTTGCTCTTGCTTCCATATATACTATCAACTAAGAGCTATGTGGCAACATGTCATAGGACCTCCAACATGTGTCCAATTTGCAAGACATGTGTCTTAACTTGCAAGACAAGTTTCCTATATGTGTGCCACATTATTAACTTATACCACAAGTTATTCACACGTGTGACACATGGCTAACTTGTTGGCTTAATTTCTAACCTACCAATCATCTATAAACATGCATAAAGTCAAATACATGTCTATGCATCTTCTAAGAAGCTTTGCCATAAGATAATATCAAATCTAAGTATATTTATCTTCTACCTAATACTTCTTATCTACGTAAATATGTATGTCTATGACAAAGCATCAAGTAATAATTATAAATTATTTTATCTACTAAAGAAAAAAAAAAAAAAAAAAAAAAACTTTCTATAATAAGTTTATATATATAAATATTAGGTCTAATGATTTTTATTAATTTTATAATGAAAAAAATTTGTAAAATTTTGCACTAATTACATAGTAAGATTGGCAAATAAATTGGTTTGATTTCTTTGATTTTAGAGATACATAAAAGCTCACAGCAATTACTAGATAAGATATGATATTTGGTACGTTTCAAAACTCTAATTTTGTTGAGTTATGAAATCTTCTAGTAGTTATTGGCAGACAATTCAAATCCCGACAATGAAACGTGAATGATGTCCGATGTACCTGGCACATGATTTACCGCTGCTTCCGTGCCGTGTAAGTTTTAAAAAATGAATAAAAGAAGGAAAAAAAAAAAAAAAAAATACAGGGTAGGAAATCCGGATGTCAGTGAGAATCGAACATATTTATATTTTAAGGCTGGGCCCTGATTTCGGGCTTTTCCACCTGGAGGTGCTGTACGATGCGACAGTGACTACAGTTGCGAAAGATCAGATCAAACTATTGTGAAGCAAGCAAGCGACTCTGCAGGGTTGTGAGGGTTGAGAGAAGCACCGGAATCGTTGTGCTTTATGAGCGTGTCTGTTAAGGTGTGTTGCTTTGCAGCAGTTTCGCTATCAAATTTCTCGTGTGTTGTAACGACTTGCATTTGTCTTGGTCTGCTAGCTTTCTTGTTGAAGTTGATGTTGGGTTTAGAGCTCTTTCGCACTTCGGAAACCCTCGATTCCGAGAAGAAGTTACGTCAGGTACAGTCCCGTCTTCTTAGTGTCTGCAACGCTTGGTGTTAAGCCTGAATTTGAGCTGCTTCGGTAAGTGAGTGTAGATTATGGCAATTAGTCTTGCTCCGGTCTTCCGAGTTCCTATGTACTGTAGAAGGAACAGTAGGCCCTGTCTTACCAGACTTGTGACAGTTCGGATCGTCTTTGAAATTTAGTGTACAAGGATTTGTCTGCGCAACTCTTGTTTGGAATCCTACTATCCTTGTTTTGTTTTGTTTTTTCATTTTTAGCTGATTTTTGTCGTGCTTGTGGAAAAAGTTTCGATTAAAGGAAAGAAATGTAGGTTTTCTGAACACTCTACTGAAGATAATCCTGGAAATTTCAGCAGCGGATACGCTGGTTTCACTTTGGGATGTGCAGAAGAGTTTTTGGTGATAATATCATCCTCAGGCACCTTTCAAGCTGCAGTTCATCGGATTTTGTGCAACCCCGGGCCCTGTAATTGCCACTTGAAACTTCTTCCGCAGGAGCCGGGCGCGAATTCTTTCAGAAAAGCAAAGGTGTTGTAAAGGTGTGAAACTTTTTTCCTCTTGGTCGACCTGGAACATCGGCATAATTTTGTTTTCCGAAATTCCCGTGAACGTGTTGAATATGGTGCTTCAACAAATACGAGGTATGCGTGGATGTGCATTCGTGCCTTCGGAAGTAAGAAACCAATGTGTTAAGTTCGTTCTCAACAGCAGAAGGATTGTTTTAGTTACAGTTGATGTGAATGGAAATCACAACCATCGATCCTAGTGATTGGATTACATTCCGACTTGATTTGAAAGACATATCACAGTTGCCTTTTCATTAACAATATTCAAATGCTTATACAGTTCGGTGATAGCTCTCCATCAGCTACGATGAAAACGCAGATTACCAACAGTACGACAACAAAATTCACTTTGAATGAAGGGAATGCAGGAGCGTTCCGCGCGATTGCTGAGTTGGGACCTTATGGGCATCACAAGATTGATGTGAATACTAATGCTACTTATCGAACATACATGGCGGCTACTGGAAGTAAGGATGAAACCGTGGAAATATCCTACGACGAAATTCTTGAATTCGGTACTATTGTACTGGTCAAGGATGAGAAGACAGGAAAATTTGGGTGCGAGTTCAGAAATTCCAGACTGAAGAAACCAAGTTGGAAAGAATGGTTCAGCAAATTAAAACCGGACACTAAACCAAAACCGGGCACTTCGAGTACCTAAATCTTCCAGGAAAAGTTGGTTTGTGTTTATGCTATTATATTGATGAATTTGTGTTAATGATTTTGTATCAAAGACTGCTGATGCATTTATTTTTGTACATTGTCATTGCAGGTAGTGCAATGAATGTTTTCAAATATAAAAGAATTGTAAAAAAGAATTGTCTAAAATCATGTTTATTTATTTATTTTTGTATTGGTGTGTTTGCAAGGGGCATGTGAAGAAAAAGAAAGAGCATATGGAAGAAGTTAAATATGTGTTAGAAACATAGATTTTTTGTACTTTGTTTTATTTTGTTTTATTTTTTCATAAAAATAAAATAAAATAGAATTTATAAAAAAATTAAATTAAATACAAAACAAGATAAAATGTATAATTATGATGCTTGTCAAATAGTAAAAAAGTAAATGATACATGATAGTTAAAGAACATGAATATGGATTTTAGTATTATAACCCAATTGATATCATGTATTGGATGAATAGAAAATCCTATTGGCTTCTTCCACTAGTATATTTTAATAAATCCTAACTTTTTTAGACATTGGATGAACAGAAAATCTTATTGTCTTCTTCCACTAGCTTATTTGAATAAATCCTAAGTTTTTCATCTTGTCTTATTAATAATAAAAGTATTTATTTATTGATTTATTTATTTATTTGTAAAATCTCACGCCTTTAAGTTTACACCTTTTTTACCAATACTTGAAGAATTTTGACCAATTGGTTGCCTATGAATAAAATATTTGTAATCTTACTTCCTTCAAAATACTAGTTAAAATATTAGTTAAAAGATAAAGAAATAAATATTTTAATTCTTTGAAAGAATCAATTTTTCTAAATTACTTAAAATTAATTGTGATTTTAATTTTTAAAATTATATATTAGATAATTAATGATTCTAAATAAAAGTATATATTATTATCAATGATTTTTAAAGAAAAATTCAAAATTATTAATTATTAATTATATAAAATTTTATTCTTAAAATATTCTTTATTTACCTATATTATATGCTTGTTAGATTTATTTTTATCAATAATTATAATTTATGCAATATATTAATATTTTGATTTAATAATTAGAATTTTGATTTATATTTTATTATATTGTAATATAACATGATTACTTTAAATCCAACTTGTAAAGTCCAACTACTCTTAAAAACTTAACCTTATTGCCTTGCATCTAATATAACAATCATATATCTATTTTAAGAATATTATATCTAATACAACAAAGTTTGTCTACTATAAAAAAGCAACTTGAAAAATTTAGATTATGAATTTTTAGAAGATAAGATATAAGATATGAAATTCAAAATTTAAGATTTTTAATTTAATTTATAAAGCTTAGATTGCATATAAATTTAAAACTAATATATTTTTTCAACAAAAAAACCATTATTTATATTAAAATAATAATAATAATAATAATAATAATAATAAGATATTAAAACTTTCAATTGTTAGATAATTATAGAGAAATACAATGAAGCTTTATTATTTTATAAATGATGTGAAATTTATTATAATAATTTTAAAATAGAACATAGTAACCTAACATAAAACAAGAATTTTAAAAGAGCTTCATTTGCATTCTTTCATGATACAATTAGAAACCTAAAAAGTCTTTAATTATTAGATTTGGACTAATGTCAACTATTGGAGAAACTTCTACCATCAATTGATAAGTTGAAATTACTACATACAATAATAATAGATGGATGCAATAACATAAAAGAACTTATAACATCTATGGAAAATTTATCTAATTTAAAAAAAAATTGTTTACATTCCAGTATGAGTTGAAAGATCTTGATGGATACAATTAGAAACCTCACATGTCTTCAATCATTGTATTAAAACCAAAATAAATTAATAGAAAGATTTCTACTATTAATTTTAATTCTACTTGTATTTAATTAAAATTTAATCTAACATGATTTCTTGAATCTAACCTAAAAAATCTAACCACATGTAAGATTTTAATCCTATAGCTTTATATATAATATAACAACCTTATATTATTTATAGTAACCGCTTATCTAATACAATAAAATTTGTCTAGCATAACAATCCAATTCACAGAATTTAGATTTTAAACTTTTAGAAAATAAGATATAAGATACAAAATTTAAACTTTAAGATTTGAAATTTAAGGTATAGATTTTAGATTTCATTTATCTTTATAATTAATATGTTTTTTAAAATATAAAATATATTTGAATCTAAATATTTTTAATTGCTAAATTTTAACAAAGAGATACAATCAAGTTATACCATTGTATAAATAATATAAAATTGCTAGGACGATTTTAAATAAAACATGGTGGTCTAATACAAAACACTAGAAAAACAATTATTATTTAATGCTACCTAAGACTTCCAATATAAATCTAATCTAAGGTTACTTTGCCATTTGACCTCCTTATTATTGTAATTCTTTTGACAATTTAATATGGAATCACTCTAATGCCTCTTGTATACTTATAAAATGGAAAATAAAAAAAATATATTCATTTTATTAAAAATATAGTCAAAAATCAGATTTTTAAAAAATTAATAAACTAGTAAAAATAATAATTTTTTCTTTGATTGTTTTTTTATTTATAATATTTAAAAATTCTAAGATCAATTACCAAATTTGATATTGTAGAATTTTTCTTCCTTTTTAAATTTTTTTTTTTCTTTTGCAAGCTTTTGGAAGACACTAAATATGCCCTTGTTTTAATACAATATCATAAATTTACAAGAATTTATAAAAATAGGTATTTATTGATTTTATTACATTCTTTGAAGAGTTTATGGATGCACCTATGTAGTAAACACCTTCTAAAGATTAATAAATAATAAACCAAAAAATTAAATATATATAGTTACTTCTTAGAAATTATACTGTAAAATAAATAGTTTTATAGTTACTTCTTAGAAATTTTAAGTTTTTAATTTAAAATATATATATATATATATATATAATTGTATTTAACTTAATTTTAATCTAATTAATTTTATTTTTAATTTAACCTAATTAATTTCATTTTTTAAATTAATTATAACCTAATTAATTTTATTTTTAAAAAATAAAATTAATTTTAATCTAATTTTAATAATCATTGATAGAAAAATTAGAAATACTAAAATATAAATTTATTTTTTTATCCTTAAGATATCTATGAATATTAATATATGATATCTATATTATTTTTATATTTTAAAAACAAAAATAAAATATGTTCTTTTGGTGATAAAAAAATAAATTAGAAATTCTTAATAAAACATATAAAAATATACTTTTGAAATAAAATAATTTATGAATTTTTAATATATAATTTTGTATATAAATTATTATATTAAATCATAGGAAGATTGAATTTTACATGATGAAACAAACAAAAGTATAACTTTTAATAATAAAATGTTCTATCCATGAAGAATTATTTTAAAAATATAATTTTGTATATATATATATATATATATATATATAGATAGATAATATCTATAATTTTATTTTGATAAAAATTTTAAATATTATAAATATAAAAAAATTAATAAAATTATATTATTTTTTTTATAAAAAATTATATGTATTTTATTTATTTATTTATCTATATATTTATTATATTTAATGGTAATTTTAAATTTTATTAAATATTAAATATATAATTTTTGTATTTATTCTAGATATTATGAATTTATAATTATTTTTTTATATTTTATTTTTTAATCATAAATTATTCTATTTAAATTAAACCTATAAAATTAAGTAAATTTAATGAATTATATTTTTAATTCTAAAATCAATCGTATATATGTCAAATTTATTAAATTTAATTAGTCTTTATTATTATTAAATCTAGGTGTATTTTTTTAAAGTCTATATGATCTATCAAAAAATAAATTTCCATGCAATTTTATAAACATTAAATCTATGGTTGATTAGATTGCAACCTCTATTTTATGCAAATTAAGATTATAATAATAATGTCAAGTCTTCTTATAGGATATTAAAAATAAAAATTTAAGCTAATTCTTAAGAAGATCAATATATACAAAAAATTAAAAATTAAAATATATGATTTTATTAATATATATATATATATATATATATGGATTTTAAAAGTTATATTCTTATATTATTAAAGAAACATCCACTTCCTCTCTTTGCCATCTCATGATTGATTTCATCTATCACATGTTCTTAGTTCTATGTCTTCATTTCCATCCTTTCTTCCTTGTTTCAAATCTTCTCCCCTACCTTTCTCTTATTTAGAGCTTGAGATCGGTTCTTCTACACACTCCCTCTATCCTTCTCTTCTACTTTGCAACCTCCCTCCCTCCCTTGTCCATGGTAGCCAAGGTCCAATAATAATAACGACTTATTATTATATTAAAGGAGGAAAAAAAAAAAAAAAAAAAAAAAAAAAAAATCCTTGCAATACCTCCACATCTACTATCTTTCACTAAATAGAGTTTCATAAGAAGTCTATTTTTAAGGATAGGGGGGGATTTAGGATGGAAGACAAGGAACAAGAGAAAGAAATAGAAATATGAAAGAAGGAATGAAGGATAGAAACAGAGACAAAGGATGAAGAAGGAGAAGGGAGGGGGGATTTTTAGAATAGAGGACTTTGAACGAGGGAGGAGAATGAGGACATGGAATTGAAAATTAGGAATAAAAATGTGTAATAGACAAAATCAATCATGAGATGGCAAGAAGAAGGTGTAGCTTTAACTTTTTTCTTTCTTTTTTTTCTCTCTCTTTATATATATATATATATATATATATATAATCTTCAAACTTCTATTATTACTACATAATGTTTTTGATATTTTATGAGTATTAAGAACCATAATCTTAAATATTAAAAACCATAATTTTATGTATATGAATAAAAGGTGGGATCAATCCAATTTTAATTCTTTGTGCATGTCTTGCCTAAATCAATAAGAGAGCCAAAATTGGTCAAATTCTGCCAAAAACTACAATTCTATACATTGGGTGAGTAAAAATTCCATAGTCAATAGGAAATTCGAAGGACAAAGATGAACAAGCCTTGTTCATGCTGAAACTTTGTTCAATTCATTACTTCAAAACAAAATGTATATAACAAATAAATAATTCAATAATGATTTAGCAAGTCAAATTTAGCTTATATATATATATATATATATATATATGTATAAAT